TTTGGACCGGATTTTGGGCTGAGGGATGTTGTTTGACCGGTCAAAGAAACCCAAAATAAAGGTTGCAGCAGATCGGGCTGAGGGTGGTGATTTTGAGCTGCTGGGCTTGGAACCAGGTGCTGGGCTCGCGGGTTACGGGTCGCTGGGCTCGATTTTGAGAGCTCACCGGCGGGACATAGAAGAGCTGCTCGGTTCTGGTTCGCTGGCGGCGTCGTGGAGGCGAGGCGGCGGAGCTGGGAGCGAGCTCGGCTGAGGTGCGATTTTGGCCAGAAGACGGAGCTGCTGGGTTGGGTCTGGTTCGCCGCTGGCTCGAGGTGTCCGGGTCTGGTCGGAAATCGAGGCGACGCGGCGGAGCTGGGCGACAGGAGATGAAACCCGAGCTGCGGAAAGGGTCGCGGGCTTGCGGATCTGAGCTGGCCCTGTTCGGGTCTGAGCTATTCGGGTCGCGATGAGCTGCGGGTCTGGTTCGCCGGGGGTTCGAGCTTCACGGGACTGGTGTCACGGTGGTGAGCTTGGAACGAAGCTGCTGCGTAGAAGGAGCTGCTGAGGACCCGCCGGAAAAAAATGGAGCTCGAAGGTGAGTTGCCGCTTGCCGTCGCGAGCTCGTGGTGGCGTCGGCCTGAGGAGAGCTCGACGGGAAACGGACTCGGGCCGGACGGAAATGGAGCTGGTCGCGACGGGGCTTAAAATTTCGGAGCTGTGGAGGGCTGCGGTTCGCCGGAAGGTGCTGCGAAGGATGGGCTGCGGGAAACTCGCCGGATATTTGGGGAGGTCGCCGGAGATGGTGACGGGAAAACGAGCTCGTCGGATTCTAAGCTTCAAGCCATGGAAAGATGGAGAAGAAAGCTTATTTTGAACACAAGATCTTGAAAAGCTTTGGATCTTGAATTTGAAGGGAAGATGATGATGAATAGTAGCTTGGGGGTGGCTAGGGTTTTTTCTTGTGTAGAATTGTTGGGGAACAAGAAGACATGCTATTTATAGGAGGGTAGGGAGCTTAGGGTTTTGTGTTGGAATTGGGCTTAAAAATCGGGCCTAATCAATTGGGCTCGATTTTAACAACTTGGGCTCGAATAAATAATTACTACTAGGCTCGATTTTAAAATACTACATGGGCTTAGTAATAAATAAATTATGCAATTAATATTAATAATACTCCGCATAATTAAAATAATACTAATACCGATAAATAAGTCGAGCTATTAATATAATATTATTCCGGGGTGTTACATTACCCCTGTTGGTTTTCAAATCCAGCTCTTTGCTTTTCGAACCATTCACAACAGTTTCAAGATTCGCATTATCTCTACCATACTTAATAGCAGATTTCACATCACTGTAAGAATCAGGTATAGCATTCAAGAGCACAATAGGGGTATAATCATCAATATGCTTATCACCAGTTTGCTTAATATCCTGAACAAGTTTGGTAAACACGTCCAAATTATCATCTATATCTTTGGACAAATCAAGTTTGAACCGAAAAAATTTCTCAAGCAAGAACAACTTATTCGGCAAAGAAGTTTCAGTATATAGTTCCTCTAATTTTTCCCAAAGTTCTTTAGCAGAGTCCAATTTACCAACTTTTCTTAACACAGAGTCAGATAAGTTCAGAATAATCGAAGAATAAGCAAACTCATCAATTTCGGCCCTTTTCTCGGTCGACACATTCGCAGAATCAGAAAGGTCAATTGCTTTAAACACCTTTTGTTGAATAAGAATACCTTTCATTTTCTGCTGCCAAATACCAAAATCAGATTTTCCATCGAACGGGACTAAGCTGAAAGATGACACAGATCCCATTTTCAAAAAGCACACAAGTTTTTGCACAGAAAATCACAACGAAGCAAATTTTACCTAGAAGATATGCCAACGACTACGATATCACAAAGATACAAATATCACAGTAACAGTTCCACACGAAAGTTACACAGAGCAAATAAAGCACAGCGGAATATCACTACAAAAGCGATAAATTAAATAAGCATGCGGCTGGAACCTTCAGCAAAGCGGTAAAATCACACAAATTACAAAGATCCTAGAAATCTACCAGCACGTTCCCAACACACAATCCCCAGCCAAGGGCTATCAATACAAAAGCATTAAAAGAGAACAAGTTTCAGCCAAAATACCTGAGCGAAAGGAACTCGACTTACATGTGGCGGCGAGCAGACGACCTGGCAAGATCCAGTCTCTGATACCACTATTGAGTGGTCGTCTGGCTCGACTCGCCGGGCCCGGGCTGACCCTGTTTCGGTCCCGAACAGCCTCTAGTTCGTCCCGGCAGCACCCGACAGGCCTCGGAAGCACCCAATAGGTCTCAGACAGTGTCTGTAGAGCCCAGACAGCAATCAGCAGGTCCCGAACAGCAGCGAATCGATCCCAGACAGCAACTAATGGAGCCGTACTGCTGCAAAACATGCCCGAACAACACATGTGCTTCCTAACAGAGAAAAGAGCACATTAAAGGACAACAAATAAAGCTATAATTATAACTTATGCAAACTAGGAGAGTTATTGAGAACGACTACACGCTTTTACGTAGTAGACGAATTCGGAAGCCACACGTGAAATGTTGAATTACACAGGCTCAGGCCCCGTATAATAATACCCACGAGAATCACAAAAGATACTAGCTCCGGACCATGGCCATTCGAACCACCCGCACCTGAATTTCGTTACTACAAAGCCTCGTACAAAGGAACCCACACAATACTCTCCAAGGGAATACATGAAAGTACTTTCTGTTTTTATTTCCTGAATCTCACACTAACAAAGCACACAAAGCACTCTGTTTTTACCTCACTCACAAAACACTCAAGAT